TATAAGACTGTGCTGATAGAAGAACTTGTGATGCAGAACGAAGAAAAATAAATAAATTTCAAATACATCATGTTAATTAGAATTTTGGTCAATATTGGTCAAGATCAACTCATGCACTATGATGACTTTTGATTTGACCTTATTGGAAAGTGTAAACAATAATGAGCTCAAAGGATGCTTACATGAAATTGTCCAGGAAAATAGGACTGTAGGGTGTCGAAAACATTAGAGCTCTTAATTAATAAATCCAAAGAAAATAGTTCAATTATGCCCATAAGGTGTGGATTACCAAAAATTCAAGTAAACTTGTGTTTTTCTAAAAAAAAAATTTTTATTGTAAAGATATTTATAGTTTTTTTTTCTTTGTTATTATTATTGCTTTTGTCGTTGTTGTTATACCTTATTGTTGTTGCTGCTCCTGTTATTATCATTGTTGCTGTCATTGTCGTCATTATTGTTGTTGTTGTTGTTGTTGTTATACCTTATTGTTGTTGCTGCTCCTGTTATTATCATTGTTGCTGTCATTGTTGTCATTATTATTGTTGTTGTTGTTGTTGTTGTTGTTGTTATACCTTATTGTTGTTGTTGCTCCTGTTATTATCATTGTTGCTCTCATTGCCGTCATTATCATTGCTGTTGTTGTTGTTGTTATTGTTGATGATGCTGTTGTTGCTATTGCATGTTCTGAGTTTTAGACAAATACAGAGAAATCTCTTTTCGATACAAATAATAAAATATTAACGACACACAATTAGTATTWATATTTTTATAAATATTCCATTCCAAGTAGTTGCTCATAACTTTTTAAAAATCTTCATTTTTCATTGTTGATCTAYATTACAAAGGAGCAACGATCTGATGAAAGAACGTGTAGCTATTTTCCGTTTCCAAAAACGGAAGGAGTCACTAGCGAGTCCTGCCTGAACATAATATTCATCCTACTCACTTAGATATGCGGTGATGACTTCACTTGTACATCAAGTGCGCTTATACTCCATCATACTAGTTTATTTAACGTACGTTATTAACGTACGTTATTAACGTACGTTATTTAAAGGCTCAAGCCACTTCAAATAAATATACCTTAAGTAAAATAACATTTTACTAAACAAAAGATTATTATTCAAAATCAAAGAATCAAAATAAATCACACACTTTCTAAAAGAAAAATCAAAGCCCTTTTGAATAGCGAGCTAGCTCTGTGAATACAATCATACACTTAACATACAATTTAAATTGTTCTCAACGACTATTACTTACAGTTTTTTGAGAGTTTTTTGTTTTCCAAAGGCTTTATTTGGCAGTGATGAGATTTCGTTAACTGACAGATCTCTGTTGGGATTAAGAAAAGATCTCGTAAGATCAACACACTTTATAAAATAAGGGAGTTTACTGWCGAAATGTCTACCAAAGTATTACCCTGTTCATATTTGAGTTAGCAACGCGTATGTAATTTGCTTGACTAAATACAGTAAGTTCATCCCCTTTAGGCAATAAAAACGATTCTCTARGGCATGGAGAAAGTTTAGGAATCAATACTTAGGAGTTATCAGGATACTTAAGTATGAAAGAATGTGATTTGAAGGTCTAAATAAGCTGAACTTTCATACTACTACAATGGGAGAAGCAAAAGCTTGTTAATGTACTCACAATGTCGATATGTTTGCCAGATACTGTGGAGGCAAAATATCCTTAAGACCACGGTCCTTACAGTTAGCAATTATCTTATTTCCACTYCTTGAAGTTGAACAGTCACAGAACTTTGGACAACCTGACAGTACCGTTTCGAATCTGAACAACAAGAAGAGCAGAAGACCAACTTCCACACGAATTCTGAACATGGCGCTTCGTACGACTAGAATTTCCACGCAGTTTTTTAAACCAAAGTTAAATGTTTCTATCTCATTTGGTAGTTGGACACTCCAGGCAGTGTTTAGGGAGTTAGCCGACGCACATTCTTGTAGAACTGATAAGGGTTTCGCACTGTGAAGTAGGTAAACAATCTCTCGTCTCTAAATTCACTTTTCGCACGCATTCAAGAAGTCTGGAAATGAAGGATATTTGCATATGGACAATCTACAATTCCTCTCAGGGGAGGGGATACGTCTTTTACAATTGTACTTTTTTATTTTCAAAATTTAGAAAACCTTTACAATTAAAACATGTAGTACAAAAAGACTCTAAGGAATGAAATTTTTAGTCTTTTTAAGCTTTCTAAATGTGTGTTTATTAGTTACTTTTAGAGGACGAAACTAACCCCTACCCCCTAAGTAGATTTTTGTAACGCTTCTTTCACGTGTTGTTAATCAAAAATGGCGGCAGCAGGAGCTTCCTCAAGGGTTCTCATTTATGGCGGAAAAGGTGCACTTGGAGCCTCTTGTGTGACTTACTTTAAGGCCAAAAACTGGGTAAGTAGTTGGAGATTTGATCTGCTTAATATCGGTTTTAACTATCTACACATTTTCAGYATTGATTCCTTCTGTCTTTTCGCAAAGTATTCAAAGCAGATTTTAAAATTTCTTTTTAAAACGGGTAATTTTGTTTATTATGCTAAAGTATCTGGGAAAATGTTWTGACAAATAAATGAAAGAGCTGCTTATGGAGATCAAGAAGACTTGGAGAGCTTCTTTTCCATCATAGGATAACAAGGGGGAGGGGGAGGGGGAGTGCAATTCTTTTTGCTGTATGTACTCCTGTTTTGTTTGTTCTCATAACTTTTGAAGATCCTTCCTACTTTTTTTGTTTATGAAAATAATACCGTGAAGAAAAACTTTTTGTAAATTCTTGTTGCAGTTTTATCTGCTTACTAATTTTATTAGTGCAGCAATTGTTTATCACAGTGTSAATTTTCTAGCTTCCAATGTAAACTAATTKAATGAATRAAACCTKTATTTAAAAATAARTAAAGCCAGGRTAGTCCCTTCAGAACKAATAAAARGYCTGCTATCAATGGGAGCCCTGGAAGACACCAAAATCAACTGTTTAATTGAATATTGCATGTTTTAGGATTTCTTTCTTGGTCTCTTAACTTTGTTATTTCATTAATCTTGATATTTTCTCATATATCTATCTACAGTGGGTCACCTCAATAGACTTGTTTCCCAATGAAGAGGCCCACGCCAATGTCATTGTGGATAGTTCAAAGTCTTGGGTGGAACAAGATCAGGAGGTAATAATCGATTGTTTAATCATGGAAAATTTGGCCAACATTATAACCCTATATCCCAACATTATGTTTTACTTACAGTAACAGACCTTTCCAATGCATTGGAAATTCTGATCTCCCTCCATGTGGTTGAGATAAGTTGAATTTTTTCTGAAATTTTACAACATGCCATAATTAGACCAATGTTGAACACTGGAATACCACTTCCACTCCATGGGGGATTTCTGGACTTATAAATTTAAAGAATATTTGACTTCTTTTTGTTGTTATGGATACCAGTAACTCAAAAGTTGATATGCATCCTTTAATAACTTCTTAGGTCCAAAAAAGAGTCGAGGAGGTTTTAGATGGTAACACTTTAGACGCTATAGTGTGTGTTGCAGGTGGCTGGGCAGGAGGGAATGCTAAAAGCAAAGGTAAACTCATTAGAATGTAATGTTTTACACTTTGAAATACAATATTTAACACTTATTGACTTGAACCTTAGGAAAGCAGTTTATTTTGTGGTCCCGAGATGGCAATGCTTCACCAGGCGAAGCTGAGGGAAACATCTCTGTCAAGGGACCACAAAACAGACTGCTTTCCCATATTGTTG